AAACCTCTTTCTCCTGCCGAACAGCTGGTAGTTTTTCATCGCTGACCTTGTAGTTAGCAATCCAGGGTGTAGCCACTGTGCCACCCGGGCTTCTTTGGATCTCAGATAAGGAGATCTTCAGAGAACTCAGCACTCAAGGTAAACACTCTCGATTGGTTTAGCTCAACTATTATTTGGTTTTAAGGCTTCATATATATTTGACTTAAGGTTTAAAGATTGCCTAAAGGCATTAGTTTTAGAGGTCCATCCAGCCTTAACATAATGTCGTTTAAAAAATAATTTAATTCTGTATTGCTTCTTATGTCTTCTGCTTGGGTGTTTTTTTAACAAATGTAAAGAAAGTCAATAGTCCTAACTATAAGTTGTACAATGTTTTTTTAATTAATTTTTTACTGTGAATTAGGTTGCTTACATTTCAGATCATCATTTTCTGTATTCAATAATTTGAACTTTCCAGACCTCCCAAGAGCTTGCCCTATTCCCCTCTATTTTTATTTTGTTTTCCTCCTTGTAGGGTAGTATCTTACCCTTCACCCCGGTTAGCACCTGTCTACCCTGTATTGCTTCCCGTTCTCCCCCGTTGCCCTCCTATCCCTGGTGAGCATCAGTCTGTTTCTTTTGGTATGAAAACCTCGATCTTCATGGTTTTTTTCCTATTTAAAAAGTCCTTAAAGGTAAAGATGGCCTATATGGACTTATTAGGAAATACTATCTTGTAATGAGGAGCCCTCGTGGCGTAGTGCTTACTCATTGAGCTGCTAACTGCAGGTCAGCAGTTTGAAACCACCAGCTGCTCTCAGATGAAAGGCAGGGTCTGCTCCTGCCAAGAGTCGCGTCTCAGAGACGCACAGGGCCAGTGCTACCCTGTCTTACAGGGTTGCCTGAGTCAGAACTGACCCAGTGGCCGTGAATAGCAGAGTATCTTGTAACAGAGTAAGGAATCTCTAGGAAGGTACTAAGACAGTATTGCTGCCGTGAATGATTTATTAATTAGGAACATGCCTGATAAGTTGATGATATATATTAATTTGGATATACATAGCCGTGGCCAAGAAAAAGCCATTTTTTATTTAATAGAAATATAGTTAGCATTTGATATAGACTAGACAATAAATAATTAGGGAGAACAATTCCATATTATAATAACTAGTGTTATTTTCAGATTGTTTAGCTCTCTGCTTCTCAATCCCCCCTTGAATTGTACTCCCCTCACGGTGGGCGTGCCACATGGCAGGCATACTCAGGAGGGGGCTTCCATCTCCATTCATCTTTTTACTCTATTCTACACCTTGGGAAGTATGGATTTCAAACTAGAAAATTCCCAAGTCATGGTTGCTAACTTGCTTTGTGTATTGAGAGGACTTAAAAAGCCGTTCTTACAGTCCCAGTAAATCCCTGACATTTTCTCCCTAGGCAGCTAACATTGGAACCAAATAGACATTTCCCCTCTGCCTGCTTGCTTAAATTAATGAAGCTTTACAACAGGGTTTTTTATGTTACTCCTTTGTGTGTGTGTGCTTGTGCATGTGTGCACCTGTGGTTAACTTCTCGTTCATCTGCATCTTGTACAAAACACAGGTATGGGATTCCTACCATATGGGTCATCTTGGTTGTAGTATGAAGGCAGGGTCCTCCTCAGTAATTTGGTCATCAGTAATGTTCTTAAAGGGATGATGCACTTTATAGCTTTTCTTTTTAAAATCTTTGTGTAACATTATGTGACTCTTGGTTTTGACTCTGGTTTTAATGTTTACGATTTCTTCCCTGACACTTATGATAACTGTTGGCTCATATTTTCTCTGAACTTCTCAGGCGTACAAATCCATTTGGAGAATCTGGAGGTGGAGGAACAAAATCGGAAACTGAAGGTACAAGAGCAGTGTTCAGAAATTTTAGAAATGCTTCTGGGCAGTACGCTGAACCTTTGTCAGCGACATTTGTTCTGCTAGTGCTTAATTTTAATGCTCTCTTCCAAAGTTTCTGCTCATCATGCATTTAAAGCAACACGATATTATCCAAATTAAGAAAAAGATACTGTCATTGAGACACAACAATAGAATGTCACAATTTAACCCTAGTTGGTTAAGTTTGTCAAGGCTTAAGGTATTTTAAGAAGAGTTTCCTCGTCGCTGATACTTCCATTCTGGTATTGAAGCAGAGCTTTTCTTTCTGTGGCACCTACAGACTGTGATGCCATTTCAAACTTAGAGATGAGAATGGTACACGGAGCTCCTTTTACCCAGAGTCACCAGTGGTTGAAGATGAACTATTTGCTGTTTGAGTGTGAAACATTCACTTTTCTATAACTAGAATATTAAGTTATTTCTAAGTGGAAGTGTTCCCTGGCAAAGTTACAGCAATTATTTTACTTTTCTGGAAAAGAAATGGAGGGTTTAAAAGATGTGCTGTACTTTGTTCTGTTGTAGACTCTATTCTTCATCAGTTGTTTATTGTCCGATTCCTGGGTTCCATGGAGGTGAGATCAGATGACAGTCCAGATGTTGTTTATGAAACAATGCGCCAGATCTTAGCTGCCCGGGCCATCCACAACATCTTCCGGATGACAGAGTCGCACTTGTTAGTTACTTGTGACTGTTTAAAGTAAGTAGTCACCTGCCTTAAAAAAACAACCAGAAAACCTGAAGGCAAAAAGTTTACAAAATCTAAGTCTGATTAAAATTTTGTTTTTTAAATTTTTTCACTTATTACTATAGGCTAATTGATCCACAGACACAAGTAACAAGACTTACGGTGAGTTTCACATACTTTAGTCTTATTTTAAGCTCCTTTGTGCATGTACACAGCTTTTATCTTTTTTCCCTGATTTTATTTTCAGTTTTTTGTTTTTTTAGTAAATCATTTTACTGGGGGCTCTTACAGCTCTTATAACAATCCATATATCAGTTGTATCAAGCACATTTGTACATATGTTGCCATCATTTCCAAATATTTTCTTCCTACTTGAGCCCTTGGTATCAGCTTCTCTCATAGTGTATATCTTTATATAATTATCATGACCCTGTGTATTCAAATGTGGTAGTATCAATAATGATTGATCTTTCTATCATACTTTAGATAATGCCTACAGTCATCTTTTCACAAAGTTATCATGGAACATTTCATACAACTTAGCGAATCAGTGCTATTTGCATGAAGCTTGGTGTTTATCCCTTCCTTAGGGAGCATGCAGGATTCTTTGTAGCGCAAATGGTTTGCATTTGACTACTAACCTGAAGGTTGGTGGTTTGAGACCAGCCAGCAGCACTGACAATCTGTTCCCCCCAAGATTTCAGCCAAGTTCTTCTCTGTAGCTCATGGGGGCACCATGAGTTGGGATCATGGCTTGGCTGGTTTGGGTTACGGGGCATGTGTCACACCACAAAGAAACTAACCAAACCAACCTCACTGCCAGCCAGTCAGTGCTGACTCATAGCGACCCTAGAGTGCAGGGTAGAATTGTCTCTGCAGGTTTCCAAGACTAATTCTTTCCGGGCGTAGAAAGCCCCATCTGTCTCCTGTGGAGCTGCTGATAAGTTTATTTTATCACTATTTATTTTGAGATAGCTGGAAGTGTGTTCCTGTTTATAATCATTTAATAATGTAAGCCATTTTTGTTGATACCGACTTTCTAAAATGTGTCAATGGCTAATAAAACAAATGATATCTTTAATAACTTTGTGTTCCTTTGGCAATCCAAATCAAAGCTGGCATTATCTGTTCTTGGGTTACCAGTCTATTCAGAAAAAAGTTGGCTTTAATGTTCTATTTATGATATTTTTATAGCTTAGCCTATGACATGCCAGAAGAGTGCTTCTAGAATGTCTGCTGTAATGATTTGAAGCCCTCACGTGTGCCTCTGCTATTTTCGGTGGCAGTTTCCATTACCCAGTGTAGTTTTGTATGCTACACACCAGGAAAACAAGCGGCTCTTCGGATTTGTGCTGCGGATGTCAGGAGGGAGAAGTGAGAGTAACCTGTCATCGATCTGTTATATATTTGAATCAAACAACGAAGGGGAAAAGGTACAGAGCTTTCCAAAATACGTTTCTGTTGTGAAGTGCAGGTCATCGTTGCAATTCTTGCCAAGATTTCGAAGGGGGTTGTTGGGAGGCAGGAATCCCGGACTTTACGTGGTCTGAGTGAGCGACTTCATTCACTCAGTGTGTTGCCACTGATGGCGGCACTCAGTCACTTTAGATGCCTGCTATGAGCACCTCAGAGGAGCCGTGTGCTTCGTGCTCTGTAGTAATGAACGTGAGAGAACAAGAAGTAGGGCACAAAAGGAGTGGGGGATCACCGAAGAATTGGCTCTGAGCCCATCAGTCTTTCTTTGAGGCAGGTGTTCGTTAAATTATGGAATCATTTACATTAGCCTCTTGGACTTGCTTGAAGTCAAGTGTGAAACTTGCTTGCGTCAGTGTAAGACTTGCCTACTTTTTCCTACTTTTCTCCCTTGTAGATCTGTGATTCTGTTGGACTGGCAAAGCAGATAGCCTTGCATGCTGAACTGGTAAGAAGTTGGGATACCCCATCACCCAAGGACAACTGTGTGTGTGGTATCAGATCCTCCCAAGTCACTTCAACTTTTGCTTTGGGCACTATTGCTGACGTAGGATTTATCATTTGGATAAATGGTTGTAATAGAATGTAGACGTTTGGTGGGCTTTCTCATATATTGAATGTAAAAATATTTCTCTTAAAATATTGAGAAGTTGCAACAGTGACATTAGTAAAAATGTATAACATTTCAAGTTTCTTCATATTTAACTCATTGACTTTCTTGGTTGTTTGACAGAGTCGTCGAACGTCAGACAAGCAAAAGGAAATGGAGAGAGTGAAAGAGAAGCAACAGAAGGAGCTCAGTAAACAAAAGCAAATCGAGAAGGTAAACAGCCCTCCCTCTGGGTCTTCTCCTTAATTCAGCACCGTGACTTCCGCATTGAACTTCCCAGTGCAGGCCTGTTTCTGACTGCTCAGCCACTCCATCAGCAGATGCTGCGTAGCGGAGCAGGGAAGGGTGACAGCTGCCTTCTGATAGGCGCTTCCTTTGTCATTACATGGGTTTGTGGTGTGACTGGTTGTTTAACAAACATACCACAACCTGCACCTTCCAGGGAGGATTGCCTCTCTGAAAGCAGGTCGTTTGAGAAACTACTATAGACTTAATTGCCACTGATGGAAGCCATATTCTCCTTTAGAGCCCACAGCCTGGCAGGAGTGAGAGATAGGTAGGCTGTTTGTATCTTGTCGTGTTTTAAAAGTGTTTCCACTCACTCACTCACTCAGTGCCAGCGTGTGGATGCCGACTCAGCGATCCTGTAGGACAGGGTAGACGGTGCCTGTGGATTTCTGAGACTGCGACTCTTTAGGGAAGTAGAAAACCTCATCTCTCTTCTGAGGTGGTCCTCATTGTAACATGTGTGTAACAAAACTTTGCCATTGTAAACTATTTTTAAATGTAGTTTAGTGACTTTCATTGTACCCACTGGATTGTGCAACCATCACCACTACCCAGCAGGACATTTTCAGCCAGAGAAGTTCAGAGAATCTGGAAAACGCATTGAGCAGGTGCTCACTAATGGGAGTGGCAGAGAGGGAACGGTTGTGAGAGGCTGAGTAAGAAGAAAACAGCAGGAATCGGTTGGATGTGTGAACACATTGACACATTGAAAACCAAACCCACTGCAGTTGAGTTGATTGTGATTCATGAATGACAAGAGAGAGGACAGAGTCGAACTGCGCCATTAGGGTTTCAGAGAATCTTTACAGGAGCAGACAGCCTCCTCTTTCTCCTGTGGAGGAGCAGCTGGTGGGTTTGAACTGCTGACCTTACAAGTTCAGTGCTTCACCCACTGTACACTAAGGGAGAGAGAATGGCTAAGATGACAGTATCGGGCTTCCTTGATAGGCTAGGCTATGGAAAAGTGACTCCTGATTTACCAAGTGGGAGGGGTTGGGGTGATCAGAAGTATATGGAGAGAGCTGATGATATACCTCGAACTTGGGTGCTAGTCACCGCAATAGAAAAGAAGAAATTATGAGAGATTTGACTATGAATGTGGGCTTTTATAGGGTTTCTAGAACAGTGCCCAAAATTCCATTTGCTCTCCATTGGTCTGAGATGACCGCCTTCCACCAAGTTGTCAGAATTATGCATCGACACTCATTTATTACAGAAAGTTTGAAGTGGCTCTCAATATATATGTTACCACATAGCTTGCCAGTTCCGTACAAACAATAAAGTTAGCTTCTTTTCTTCCTCCTAGGACTTAGAAGAACAAAGCCGGTTGATAGCTGCTTCCAGTAGACCAAACCAAGCCAGTAATGAGGGGCAGTTTGTTGTCCTGAGCAGTAGCCAGTCAGAAGAGAGTGATTTGGGAGAAGATGGAAAGAAGAGAGAGTCAGAAGCATAAACTCACTCTTGCTTTGTGGTTGACACCCTCACCGCACACCCCCTCCCCTCCCCTGCCCCGGGATGTAGTGACAATTTCTGTGGTGAAATGGCACAAGGTAACAACTATGTTGAAATAACGAGACTAAGCTGTATATTTGCTTATTGGTTTTAGCTTTATCTTTTACAATTAGATTGAACTTGTGATTTAGGTTTGTATTGATTGCTTTCCCCCCTTCAAAATGACACACTATGCAGTAGTAACACCAAATTCCACATGCCCAAAAGAAACCCTCTCATCCCCCTCAGGTAGACTGCTGAGGAATTATACTTGCTCAAAGCATTTCCCTTCAAATTGTGAACTTTTGTCGTGTTTTGAATTGGCTGTGGCCACACAAGATCCAATCGGCCGTGGCTTCCGACCTTGACATCCTCGGGTCTGGTGTGCCCCCTCTGTCTCACGAGTAACATTTTGCTGGTAGTGAGGGAGAGGAAGCTTTTGAAAGGAGGGCTGCAGAGTTTCAAAACCCTTTATATAGAGAATTCTACACGTTTGCAAATATTTTAACAATAGTACCTGTGCAATAGAACTTTTATAAATAATTAAGAGCAGCGAGTTTAGACTTAAGGTTTCAAAATGGTGACAGGTGGTTACTGTTGACTTCAGGGCAATTTCTTGGCTTGCTAACATCCCCCCTTTGATGTGCATGAGTTATGCCCTGATGCCAAGGGGAAAATGCTGAGGGAGCCCAGCTCACAACTGCTGCCGTCCTGGGCGCTTTATCATGTTCTTAGTTCTCAGGTTGGAACTGGAGTCATTGCTGCAGAGCAGTATAATGGTTAAAATAAGATTTTGGAATTTATTAAAAGGGACATTTTCGTTGTTCAAATACATCTTAGATTAGTATTTAGAGATAAAGATAATTGTTACAGGATGATACACTATATTTTATGCATTGCATGAAATAATTTTTATTGAAAGCAACCTTTCAAAGATGTTCTCAACCAATTATGTTTCCTTGCCTAAAGTAACAAGTCCCAGAGTTTAGAAACTATAATCTTTTAAATTCCAGACTGATACTCCCAGTATTTTCATAATACCAAATCACCACTTTATATCCACAAGGACAAATAGTTCATGTAGAAAGATGGAATAATTTGCACTAATTATTTTTAGCTACTTCTGTGCTTTAAATAAATAAAAGGTTTACTTCTATGGAAGGTTGAAAAGAAATTGAATGCCTGGTCTAATAGAAGAGAGTTGGCCACAGAAGGAATTTCGCCTGCTGCCCAAGTTAAAATGACTCCTGGGTCAGGGCTTGATCCCTCTCTGTTTTATCAGGTCTTTCACACTGTCGATAGGGACCGTCCGCGGGTTACACATGATGAAGCATCTGTAGGTAAGTTGACGATAGTGAGTCAAACATTTTACATCAGTGACACATTTCCAGGACGTTAGGAAGACTGATTTCACAGAGGACACGTCCTTTGATGGCTCTGCCTTGTTCTTCTTGGGAATCAGACACGGCTTCTGTTCAGTTCTCACTGCAGCTGACCTTTCATACTGTGGGCACGGACCGATGGTGATTATATACAGGTTCATGATCTTTTTATCCATGTGCCAAATGGGAGTATGGATTAGTTACTTCTCTTTGAAGCCATAGGTGAACTGAAGTATAAGTTAAAAAAGTGATAGAAAACTTTTTGAAAAAGTTTATTGAGCGTGTCCTAAGGGAGTGCTTTCACCATAGTTTAGGCATCATTCCTTTGGTCAGCATTTATCCTGTGGGCAACACTTGATTAGTCATGCCAAGTCCTGCTTTAAGAACTTTTTGGAGAATCTGGAGGCTTTCTCTTACAGCCAGGATGCCTCCAAGGCCAGACAGAAGGCATGCGGACTTGATGACGGTGGAAGACGCAGCTTCTCTGCTGCGCCCTTAGCTCAGACCTTACGGTGTCACCAGTGATCTGTGCTCCCTCTGTTGACAGGCTTTCCTAGCGCTGTTCTGCCCAGCTCCCTAACGGCCCTTCTCACCCTGAGCTACTTTGGTTATGATGGGACTAATTTGGGCTTATTTTTTATCAGATTTAAGTTTCTACCTAATGATTTTTAGATATTAACAAAACTGACCTCTAACAGGAGAGAGTTTCTGTCAGCCTAATCCTGCTATGTACTCTGCTACTTACCCGAACAGTGGTTTTGTTAACAATGGTAATGAAGTCTGTTACCTTGAACAGAGCCCCCAACACCAGCCTGGTGTTTGCAGTATCTGCCATGATGACTCTGTGCTTAATTTCAAAGGCCATCTCGGGCTCACAGTCAAAGGGTGGTAAGTAAACTTAGTCACTACAGGCTTGAGAACAACAACATCCAATTCAACACCTAATCTTATGTGGTAAAGACCTCCGGTACATCTGGAAACCACAGATGTTTAAAATTTGAATTTTAATATAAATGCTGACCGTGAGCTAGTGTCCTGCAAAGCCTGCCACCGGAATCAATCAAATGACAAGTTATGTTGGTTTTGACAGCAACCTCTGAGCATTCAAACTGTATTTCAGATATTCAGACCAGTCCACAGGAGCGCTCCCTTCGTTTTATTTTTCTTGTGTTTGGCTTAATCTTTAATGAGATTTTAGTCTAATTAATAGTACATAAAGATTTGAAACTGGAAATTTACATTTTTAACCAAGTTGGTATGGCTGTACTCATGTAATTTTCTTCAGTCGATATGAGAACTGGGGATTAAGTTATGACTAATGGGGGGGGGAGACTTTGCATATCTGGTGATTCTTCAATGTCAATGGACAGGTTTGTTCTTACGTCACGGAGAGCACTAATCATGCAGTGCACAATGAAAACTGGTGCCTCCCTTCAGGATCGGGTTGGAAGAATGCATTTCTCTGGTGGTGGCAAGCTTGTGGGGAGGAGGCCTTATTTCCGCATTTTGTTAAACTAGGTATATTTGCTGACAGGGCTTCCGGAGATACGCTGGTAGGTTTTTTTAAAATGTATAATAAAATCTGTGACTTTTGTACAGTCTTCTTTGTATGAAATATTCAATATATCCCCTGAATTTTATTTCCCCATATACTTTCAATTAATGTTTCCAAAAGAATTAGACTTTTTCATACTTTGTTAGGACACTGTAATTACACATCTAGCCCCTCAGGGAGACTAAATGTTGATGGAAGCAGGCTGCCCACCGTGCTTCCCAGGAGCCACTTGTTCAAACAGCCCACCCTTTCTGTAGCAGCCTGATGCTTAATGCTGCTGTAAGAACACAGACAGCCAAAATGTCTCTGTACAGTGACTTATCTAATCTACCCACTTCTAAATAGATACCACAATTGGACTTAAAAAATTAAAACTTCATGCCAGCTAGGTTTTGCTATTGTCTTTTGGTGAACAACTGTGTATTTTCATATACCTTCAGTTCTCTAAGATGAACTAAACTCATGCTTAAAAATACATAACTCTAACCTGTAAACTTCAAGTCTGCTGTAGCTGGCCAAGCTAGGGCCGAGGATGCTTGCTGTACCTCTGCCAGCCTGCTGCTGTTATACAGGTAGGGATGATTGAAAACCCGCAGTCTTTTACCTCGCCTCCTATAAATGCATGCACATGTATACTTATAACTGCTTCATCAGCGGGTCCCTCTCATAGGTCCAGTCCTAGGCTAGGTGCAGAGCTGTTCATTGAAACCTTAAGTTACCTAGTTTCCACCCCAGCCAGGCTGTCAAGGCAAGAAGCGTGTTTCCATTAATGGGGGAGGTGCAGATGAAGGACATATTTCAATTACATGAATTCTCCACCTCAGTGTTTGACATCCAGGATAACAGCAGACGCTCAGCTGGCATCGGGACTTTTGCATAAAGCCAGCTAAGTTCTGCGTCATGTACTAAAGTGAGCACACACCCATGCCACTCACTGAGACGTGTATGTTCTTCGCTATAAAAAAGGATCACTGTTAAGAATTAAATTGGTGCTTGACACAATGGATGTATGAATGGATTGTGCTAAGAACTGTATGAGCCCCCAATAAAATAATTTTTTAAAAAAGAATTAAATTGAAGGTGGCATCCAGTTTGAACACTTGGAAATGTGGGTTAATATACTTATTATGAGATCAATTTGACTAATTCCAGTTAATGGAATTTTTTTTAGTTTTTTTTTTTTCAGTTAATGGAATTTTAACTGGCCTCTTTATATTTAAATGGTCTTTCAGAATGCTACCCTTTGAAAAGAAATCTGTAGAGTGTATTTAGATTTTAGTTGCTGGGGAAAACAAAATGAGTTGCATGTACCGTAGTTTAATTAGTACCTTTTCCTTCAGACGACTTGGATTACCAAGTTTCAGTAAAAATCCCTTGCTCCCAGAGGTCGTGTTCTTTGTAGAGGATGTACGCTTTCAGACGGTTGGGTAAGGGTAGAAATGACATGAAGACAGGGCAGCGCAGGTGTAAACGCCCCATGCACTTCCGGATCTTTAGGCGGCACAGGTGTTTTAGGGAGCGAGGATTTGCTGCAGTGAAAGAAATAGGTGTATTACCCAAAAGGGGAAAAGAATAGTTTTTTTGTTTTGTTTTTTTAGTGATCTCAATGTTAGGTAGCAAATATATTTTACACTGCAGCCACCAGGACATCTATTTGTTGTGTAGATGGGAAGGAATGGCCAGGAAACGGTTTTCCGTTCTTGTCACCCTGCCTTGTATGTCTGGTTTCAGAGCCAAGTCAGAATCCATGATTGACTTCATTGTGGTCTGGCCTGTGAGACGTGCACTCAGGTTGTAAACCCCTTCCTGGCCCTTATTCCAGGCTAAGGAAAAGGTGACAATCACCTTTCAGGGGGAAATTAAATGAAAGTATTCATTTGATTCATGTGCTACTGTGAAGGAATTTTTGGGGGGAGCTAGGTTAGCCTTTAATGCCCTCTGCAGGCCGAGCTGTTAGCATTTCATAGCTTTTAGCCCCAGAGTCTGCAGTGTCCTTGCATAGCCATGATGGAAAGCATTACCTGTCTACGCAAGATCGTGACCACACAGACTCTGTCTACTGAGTACAAGTTAGGTGCACTGAGTAACGCTTTTTCTTCAGGTTAGGCCTTCAGCCAAGAGAAAGCACCTTCCTCAAAGTAAGTGAGAGTGCAGTTCGTATTCTTGGTGGTGCCTTCTACAAGGAAGGACGTGGTGCCTTCTACAAGGAAGGACGGAAGAGACTTACTTAAGATCAGGTTGATTTCTGACCAGAGCCCCTGATGCTGGAGCACAGCCTTCAACTTGGAACAGATCCGAACGTGGTCAACATAATCCAGCATCACTCGAACCACCTTTGCAGAGAGATGCTGCAGCCAGGACAGAGTGATCACCTCGCAGAACTGGGGGCGAGAGCCAGCATTATGAAAGTAAACGAAGAGCCTGAATGAACTACCTGTGCTCACCACAGTTCACACACGAACAAGAAAAGGTCTCTCTAAAATCTGGAAAGACATCTATCCTCCTTAGAACCATGTAAGACGTGATGACTGTTTACTGGGAAATACCTTTTGTACAATATCTGTACCCCTTTTGCTTGTGGTCTGGAACGTTCCGTTTCAGTGCATTTGTAGCTAGGTGTGAACACATGGCGAAGCTCAAGCCAATGTGCTGTGAGCAGCTTACAGCAGTAGCTTCACTGGGGATGTGCATCGCATACTGGGTGACACTGTTGGAGGGGTGACACCCGAACTGACTATAAAAACTGTGCAGCATTTCAGCAGTTTATTACTTTTTAATAAAAATGTCCCTGTAGTTAAACTTTTTTTCCCCCCATAAGCCCATCATAACGTGGTGATATACTTACAAAACAAAACTCTGCTAATTTCATCTTAGGACTCTACAGTGCTTCAGACCACGTGGTTTTGTCTGCACACGCTACTAGCACACTTTCTTGTTGCTGCAGGTGTTTATACTACTGCTGATCTTGCATTTGCTGGCATTGTAGCCAATATACTGTGTAATTAATGTGAAACTATCAATAATGTTACTGTGAATAAAGTAGGAATTAAAGGAAAGGAGAAGAAATGCTTCCACTCAGTTCCTAATAATGTAATTCAATGTAGAAAGATTTTATAAGACGATTTTGTTAGTATTCCAAGAAATCATACACTTATATAATTTACAACTATGCCATCTATTATTCTATGATTAAAATTACTAATAAACATCACTAAGGCTTCTGTATGGCCCACTAGGGAGGAAGTCCTGGGGGACGGGAAGTGACACTGAGTTACAATGCTGAATGAGGCCCACTCTAGGGATGTCCCTGGCTTTCAGGATGAGCTGCAAGAAGCACAGGGTATGTGCTACGGGCTCCCACCTTGCTGGTCAACTAGGATGAGGATGCCAGTCCCGCCTGTGAATCCCCAAACTGTCCCTGGCCTTTACTTATGTGAGGTGGATGATGAATGACACTTTGTGTTTTCTGTTGCGTTTATACTTAATTTTACCTATAACATGAGGGATGTAAACATGTAAGTCATTTATATTCTCTTAGATGGTGGCCGTATGAGAAGTAATGATATATAAAGAAGCTATTAAATGATGCAAGGTGATATATGAGGGGGCTTCAAAAAGTTTATGGAAAAATGGAATTAAAAGAACATTTTCCCACAAACTTTGAATCCCCCTTGTTTGTCTAAATGCCAAGGCCAAACTCACTGACATCGAGTCAATTTTGCCTCAGAGAGGGCCCATAGGGCAGATTAGAACTGCCCCCATGGGTTTCTGCAACTTAAATCTTTATGGGAGCTGGCAGCCTCCTCATTCTCCCATGGAGTGGTTCGTGGGTTTGAACCACTGACCTTGTGGTTAGCAGCTCTGTGCATTATACCCCTACACCACATGGGCTCCTGACATCTGCAGAGGTAAATCACTTTCTCCTCTGAACAGATTTTGTGTGTGTGTGTATGTGTTGGCCATAGTCTAATTACTTTACTACATCATAGTCTATCACATTAGACTCTAACCATGAACTCTCCAGAGGGTGGAAGGAGGCCTGCTGCTGTGGTCCCAAGCCCACAGATAGTGCATATGGACGTACCACCACAGTGCAAACTCACCATGGTATCTTTGATAACTGTAGATGTCCAGCCTTCAAAAACATGCCTCGGTTGAACGTTGTCCCCGTGAGGACAGTCAAAGCATCGCTCTGTGTCATACCCGTAATTGAGCAGCATCCGGAGCATGACTTCATCTTTCAGGGTGTACTGCAGTGCCGACGGGAAATGTAAAGGGTTGACCCTGCAGACGTAGTTGACGTTGGCCCCGTGTCGCAGCAGCAGACTTACCATCTCATAGTTGCCCATCCGCAGGGCTATCTGGAGGCAGTTAACCGGGTCTTGATTGGGCAGTGCGCCAGCACCCAGGAGCAGCTTAACACAAGAGAGGTCACCGTTGGAGACTGCAAAATATAAAGCTGACTTCCTTTGGTCGTCGTAGTGTTTGCGAATTTGCTGATCCAGCATGAAATTCACATCAAACCCGGCCTGGATGAGAAGGCCCAGGCACTCGGGGTGGGCGCCTGCTGCTGCACAGTGAACCGGACTGATCCCGCTGTGCTTAATGGCAGCCACGTCCGTCACAGGGACCAGAATCTTTAGAACTCTGAAAAAGAATGTTGAAGCACACTTCAAAATCATTTTGGTAAGGTGCAAAAATAACCTGTTTAAGATCACTTTAATATGGAATGATAGTATCAGGTGGTATTTAAATCCTCCAGTAAAAAAAAATTTATATCTGCATCCGAAAGCTCAGATACCACGTAAAGCCAAATGGTGCTAGTGTGGTATGGTGGGTTGTGCTGTAGTCTGACAGTTGCAAAGTCAGCAGTTCCCAACCAGCAGCTGCTCCACAGGAGAAAGAGGAGGCTTTGTACTCCTGTAAAGGTTTACAGTCATGGGAACCCACAGGGCAGTTCAACCTTGTCATATTGGGTCTCTATGAGCCGGAATCGACTGGATGGCAGTGAGTGAGCTCGAGTTACAAAATCCAGAGTTGGCCCCGCTAGCTGAGCCCCGAGGCTCCCCTGGGTGCCTGAGGACCAGATGAAACAGTTTAGGGCTGGAAGGATCAAAGATGAAGAGTACGCAGTTTCTAGGAACTGCCCAGTGATGACAAGGGTGTAATTGAACTTACAATAAGTGGCCTCTGTCGGCTGCCACATGAATGGGCAGGTGGCCTGAGTTCTTAGGGATATTGGCGTCAGCTCCATACTTTAGTAAGAGAGTCACTGAGTCTGGGTTTCCTCCATTTGCAGCTTCAAGTAAGATGGAAGAAGAATCAGAGGCTTGGCCGTGAGCATTAGCTCCTGGGGAGAAAGAGTCTTGTCAGGCAAAAATGTGTTCCACTGTATGGCTTGAGCAGCCTGGAACCCAGCCCACCACCACCAAATCGCCGCAGTACTGGGCCCCCACTCTCGCAGCGCACCGAGAAGCAAGGAGCGCACACCTGCAGCCTCGCGTCCAGGGAGGCAGGAATCACTGGTGCCAGCAAGCTCCACGCAACAAATGTACAAATGTGTTTGACACAGTGATGCATGTATGGATTGTGATAAAAGTTGTACAAGCCCCTAATAAAGTGATTTTTTTTTTTTTGAAACTCAGAATTGGTTTATTGACAATGCCCCCATGTTGTCCTCTGCTCTCAGAACAGCACTCAGGATCAAAAGAACCCAACCCAAGTCCCTGAGGTTGGCATCTTAGCATGGCTCCCCGCAGGGAGGGCAGAGCCAGGACCACCCCCACCCCCACCCCCGCTCCTATCAGGCAGACTTTGGGATGGGGAGATGCCTGAGCATCACACAGCGCCACCCTCTCCACAGCCGAGACTGCAGGGGTCACCTTTACTGGGGTGCAGAGATGGTGTAGCCCCCATCTATCCTGAGGCCACTCTAGAACAGTCACCCCGGGGAGGACAGTAACCAGACCCAGACACACACTTCTGCTCCCCCTCCTTCAGACTGTCCCCACCACTCCCCGAGATCCAGGCCATGGCAAAGGGGCTGGCAAGGAGGGAATGGGGAGTGGTAAAATGATTTTTTTAAATCTCCATGTTTTAAATAGGTTGATGATTCAAAAGTGATTTTATAAATCATTTACTTGGAACTTGAAAATTCCAGGAGAAATGATTTTATAAAGGGTGGCTTTTTCTTCCACAAGAGCGGACTTAACTCCCAAGTCTCTCGCATGAGAGCTGGGCTAACAATCCAGGTGCACTCTCTCCCCATGCCGCCCCGCGGATGCTTTGGTGGCTGTTCTTGCAGGGTGGGTCATAGCTCACTGTCTTCAAGGTGATTTTGACTCATACCGACGACTGGAGGACAGGGTAGAATTGCCCCCTGTGGGTTTTCTAGACCACACCTTTATGGGAGTAGAAAGCCTCATCTTTCCCCCATGGAGCTGCTGGGGATTCGATCTGCTGACCTTGCTGTTAGTAGCCCAATGTGTAACCACTCTGCCGTCAGGGTTGTCTGCTTGTTTTCTTTAGAAACACTAGTGTTAGATTGAAGTTGGACTGCTGAAAGGGGGATAACTCACAGCACCTCACATGCAGAGTGTCATGTGGGTGACGTGGCTAACATGAGCATCACGGCCTGACCCTATGAGCATAAGTATGAAACATGAACATAGGCATATACTAAGCATAGGTATGAAAATCCAAATTCATTGCCATCAAGTCAATTCTGACTCACAGCAAGCCTCTGGACAGAGTAGGTTCCAAGGCTGTAAATCCTTCCGGGAGTGGCTCGTGGGTTCCAGCGGCAGACCTGGAGGTGAGCAAGCTCACACTGCTTGACCCAGGATGCCATCAGAGCTCCCGCCACGATTTCAGGATTGGATTGGGAGGGGGAGGGAGGAAGGGAGAGAAGGGAAGTGCGTGAGCTGTGGAAGGCCGCTCAGTAGAATGGGCTCTGAAGGAGGAAGAGTGTTTGGGAAGACAAAGGAACAGGGTGTGTTCAGGGTACATTCGGGGTACCTATGAAAAAGAACACCGGCAGTACAGACTCCATGAAGAGTCAGCTGGGTACAGTAGCTGTTCAAGAACCTCATTCCTGGAGTGTATTAATTCTGAATTTTAAAAATTGTTTTTAAATTCTGAATCCAACAAGCCTGCCCTCACTTAAATTGAGTGCACATCGCATGCGTGTTCCTTCAGGTACATAATTTTTAAGCTGCACAACAACCTAAGAATATGAGGTGCTAATAGCATCATTCTGAAGATGAAGAAACATACTCACTGATGTTCCCTGACACAGCTACTGAGGTGAGATTACTGTGCACGTCGGTCAGACCCCAGACCAATTTCTGTGATGCTGCCCCATGCTCGGAGCAGTACACGGTGGTAGAGTAATGTGATTTGGAATCAGACCGATCTGGGTTCAAATCCTGGGTTCATTTACTAGTTGCATTACTCTAAGAAATGCTCACTCACTGAGGTCAACCAATGCTGACCTGTGAAGGGTCAAAACTAAAACTTACTGCCATCGAATGGATTGCTGAGACTGTCTGTATGTAAATATGTATGGGAGCAGGCAGCCTCATCTTTCTCTGAAGGAGCAGCTGACAGGTTTGAACAACTGTCCTTGTGGTTAGTAGTCCACAGCCTAACCCACAGAGCCACCAAAGAGTCGATTCTCTCTTTTTTTTAATCAATAGCCTACACAAAGGATCATTGCTCTTTCCTAAAAGCAGGACTCAGATTTACTTTATTCTTGCTGATGATTTTACACATCTCTGTTGGTACTAATTTAAACCACTTAAATTGTTTTAAGGTTACTGACAGGAAATCAGCCTCTGTTTTAAGACAGGTTTAGGTAAGCCTAGAAACCATTGTTTTGACATGCAAAGCCCTTGCAGTCTAGAATGGCTGGAAACCAGAACCACACATTGTTAAGGAAGATGGCTCCAGGACACACAGAGGGAGAATTCCTGTAGCGACACTTAATGACATCTTTGTAAAGGTTTGCTTCTTTGAAAAAAATACCACTTTAGAAATTATTTATTTCATCAAGCAGTGTCATCAGCAGGTGTGTCCAAAGACGATAAATGATAAAGTTGTCTGAGCTAGAGGTCGCTGCCAAGGAGGCAGTGTTGGGGGGCAGGGGAGAATGTCTTTAGAGGGAAGTACCATGTCTGACCCTTCTTCTTGGCAAATGCAAAATGAGGACAATACCAACCTCACAGGGTCTTCAGAGGAGTATACAAGGCAACAAACAGCATAATGTCTTTCCTTAGGGCAGCGGTTCTTAATCTGTGGGCCGTGACCCCTTTGAGGTCGAATGACCACTTTCACAGGGGTCGCCTGATTCATAACAGGTAGCAAGATTACAGTTATAAAGTAGCAATGAAAATAATGTTATGGTTGGGGGGTCAGCACAACGTGAGGAACTGTATGAAAGGGTCTTGGCATGAGGAAGGTGGAGAACCCCTGCCCTAGGGAAGCCAGCTCACTGCCATCGAATCCATGCAGACTCACAGGCTCGAGAAGGGGGTAGAACTGGCCCTGTGGGTTTCCAGGACTGTAACTCTATGATGGGAGTAGAAAGCCCCATCACGAGGCTGATGATTTCAAACCGCTGACCTTGCAATTACTAGCCCAATGCTTAACCACTAAGCCACCAGGGCACCTTTCCTTAGAAAGGCCTCCGAGGATATAGGACGCCCTCCCTCTCAGGGGAGGGCGATGACTAGGTGCAGGAAGCTATCAGCAAGAACTCCCAACCACTGAAGCCCTCTGCTGGCAGGCAGAGACCGCAGGGGAGAGGTTGCAGGGTTCTCCACCTTGATTCCACAAAAGGAGAACAGCACAGAAATAAGCCCAAAAAACAACCCTCATCTTAGCATGGTCCTAGTCATTTTCAGGAACAACAAAAACCCACCCGTGACTGCTTAGTTAACTCTGACTCAGAGTGACCCTATAAGACAGTCCCAGAACACCTTCAGAAACTCACTGCCGTCGAGCTGGTGCAAACCCATAGAACTCCTCCCTGTGAATTTCCGGGACTGTAACTGTTCACAGGAGTAAAAAGCCCCCAGCTTTTTGCAGTGAAGCAGCTGGTGGTTGTGAACTGCTAACTTTGTGGATCACAGCCCAATAGGTAACCACTGTGCCCCTCCGTTATTTTGAAGCTCTTTGTCAAGAGACGAGCCTTTGGACCACATCGTGTCTGGGAGCCTTGCCTTTCTGCAGTAACTGTTCCATGATTCCAGCGTGTCCACTTTGGGCAGCGAGAGCCAGCGGCGTGAAACCATAGGCGCTGCGTGGGTCAGGCTGTGCCCCGGAGACCAGCAGAAGCGCCACCAGGTCGGGCCTGCCCAGTTTGGCAGCTTCATGGAGCGCTGTCCTCTCATTGGCACACTGCAGATTGACATCGGCTCCGTGGCTGATCAGCAAGGCAGCCATGTCGCAGGAGTCGTGCTGAACAGCTGGGAGATGAGAAATGAGGTGGGCGTTAAGAGTCCTGGGAAGTAAAGGCCGGATCACCTGGTGTTCTCAGCATTCTAGGGATCGGTGACCAGATGTTAACATTGGTAAAGTGGGACAAAAGCAGGACATCATTGATAAAACTCATGTCCTGGCGAAATAGCCACATGGCAGCCGAAAACCATATACCCTAGCTTGTCGTGCTTTCTTTTAAAAAAATCGGGACTTTTTAAAAACGCCGCGGGACGTGGGAAAGATCGTTAACAATCAGGACTGTCCCGCCAAAAGCGGGACGTCTGGTCACCTTATTCTAGGGAGCTCATCCTACTTACCATGATGCCCAGTGTTGTTTGGGAAGCAGATGGTAAAACAGAGCACATATCAAGTTATATAAGTAATGCTGTATATCAATAGGCTATTTATTCTTATGCAAGCCATGACTGGTTCTGTAATGTTTATCAGAGAAAGACGGGGCTTCCTACTCCCATAAAGAGTTGCAGTCTTGGAAACCCACAGGCCCAATGCTGCCCTATCCTACAGGGTCACTATGGGTTGGCATTCCTTCGATGGCAATGAGTTTGGTTTGGTTTGGATTGGCCATTTGGATCCTTGGCAGGAGTGGCTAATGTGCTAGCTGCTCACTGATCGGTCTGTGGAGCGCATCATCATGCTCCAAAGAAGCCCCCACCCCCTTCCTGGAGGCAAAGACTTGGCTGCCAGCGCAGGGGAGAGGAGGGCAAGGAGATCTCAGCCGACGCTCGCATCACCCCATGTCTACAGCACAGTAAGCCACCCGTGCTCATATCCCCAAGTCTAGAGACCTCAGTTTCAGCCAGTCCCGAGAAGAAACCTCCAGAATTCTGCTGGGCTGTGTGCTTGGTCTTGGTTTTCCCACTTCTTGTCACTTTTTTAAAGTGTTATTGTGGTCTCCTCGCTGTTCTGCCTACTCATTTGCATCTTATCCTTTTAAAACACTCACTTAGCTACGGTTTTCGTGAAGATTCAGGAGCAAGGTGTGCGTTCGTGTTCAGTCTGCCGTCGGTTCATCTGTCCACAGGCTCTCTCGACTGCTACGGCTGCCGCTCCGCCTCCTCTCCCTCGGAATGCCTTATCCTGGAAGCCACCACACAGACCGGCTTCTCAAGGGCCAGAGTGTCTGACCATGACTGGCCAGTCGGGCCAGAGAGACCAGCGCTGTGCAACCAGGCACAGAAAGCCGCCTTTTAAACCTGTGCCATGAAAGAGACTCAAAGCCACGGGACTCTTCTCCAGCAAACAGGGCGTTAACTTACCTCTAAAACCCCAAACCAAACCCACTGCCATTGAGTTGATGCAGACTCATAGCGACCCTACGACCCTACAGGACAGGGTAAAACTTCCCCTGTGGGTTTCCGAGCTTGCTACTCACCATGCAACCACTATACCACCTGGGCTGCTCAGTTTACCTATAAGAAGAGGAGAATTGCCTTCAGCGTTCTTGGTGTTTGGATCGCAGCCATTGAGAAGAAGGAAGCTGGCGTTTTCCAGGAGGCCACTGCTGACTGCCAGGAAGAGTGGCGTTTCACCATTGTGGGTGGCTTTCTCCCACGTACTTGGCCTTGAAGCTGAAATAAACGCATCAGACCACACGAGTTCGTACTGAGGGACACACGTGCGACGTCTTGCTAAGAGAGCAAGAAGAGGGAACGAGGGGAGTTTACCTCTCAGGGTGATCGCCAGAATGTTCTTGTTTAGTTGCACTGCAGCCTTGTGCAGAGGAAGCCAGCCCGCCCCATCGGCTTCCTCAAAAGCTGACTGGTGCATGGTCAAGTGCATCAGAGCATCTTCCGCGCCTATGGACAAATCGGATGAGAACAGATTCACACTTGGCTCACAGACAAGGCAGCCGGTGCTGCAGCTGGCCTCCACCATCAAGGCTGGTGCAGGCAACAACATAATTCTAGCACCTTCCTGAACGACACATGTAAACAGCAAGGAGAAACAGCGAGGCCTTTTCTGTTGAGGTCTTCCTGGCCCACCCAGCCCCGTGACACCCCATGGTCTTGTCACCCACAGAAAAAGATCCCTCTTTGCCTGGTGGTCTGGGTGACTGGCTCACAGTGGGCCCCAGAGCACTTAGCATTTGGAAGGATCTGCTTGCAGGCTCCTGAGCTAGAAGACAAACACGGGCAGTTGTCACCACACAGTCTGAGCGGGCGGAACAGAAGGAGTACTTAACTGTCTCTATTGTTTCAACTATCTTCGCAGAGTCAGCGCTGAAAGAGGAATGGAAGCTGGATAGGGAGGGAAAAGTATATATGTTAGTTATATGCATGTGCGTATCTATACATATGTAACTACAGTGGAAGGAAATAGTGAGATAGCCCTATACAACAAATAAAAGGGTAAGACAGCAGTTAACGAGGGATACGTTCATTCTCCTAGGAGGCAATGCCTGAGGACCGCCCCCCCAAAAAAATCCAAACTCACTGCCTTTGAGTCTTCTCTGATTCACAGTGACCCTAAAGGGCAGGTTAGACCTGCCTCTGTGAGTTTCTGAGGCTGTAATTGTTCATGGGAGCAGAAATCCTCCTCTTCCCCACCCCCCACCCCAGAGCAGCTGGTGGTTTCAAACTGCCGACCTTGTGGTTAGCAGTCCACTGGGAAGCCATCCCACCAGCAGGGCTCCTTAAGGACTAATGAAAGTATTTTGGAACGTAGTGAGGCCTTTCAGCATCTGTTTTCCTCCCTCGTGCAGTTAACTTCTTTCAGGCAAGGGCTGTGTGAGAGCCAGGGTCACAACTTGCGCGGAATTATCAATGTTTCTGAACAGACCTGAACCTGCCTGTATTACATGCCACAATTTCACATGGTCGAAATTTACGGCCACCCTATCATGCCAATGATTCTAGCAAAACAAATTCTTTAAAAAATAGAAAATGATCAGGGTGTGAGTTCAAAAAATATATTCATGGTAAAATTTTGGGCTTAGGGAAAAGTAGCTTTTTAAAAAGTGACCTGTGTGTATGAAAATATTTTAAAGGTAAAGTTTCGATTTGTGAATCTCCTATCATTTTAAAATACAATGTCACCTTCCCACCTTCTTTGATTTTTAGTAAGCCCAGTTCGACAAGAATAAGCTCCTTCAGATACTCCATTTTGTTAATGACGTGGGCAATGAAGTCCTCTTAAACAGTTCACTGTTCCTGTGATCGGAAACAACTGGGAGGACGGTGGTGGACTCGGCCACGTCCACCCTGCCGTGCACGGGTCGCCGTGGGTCAGAACTGACTTGATGGTGCCAAACAGCCACCACTGCCACCTTTTAAAAATGAGATGTGTACAGGGGGCATCGTCTTGGTTATTCTACGGCTATTGTAACAAATCACCACAAACACAGTGGTTTAAAACAGCATGCATTTATTACCTTACAGTTTTGTTGTTCTGAAGTCTGAAACGGATCTCCTGGAGCTAGAAGCAAGGTAGGGGCAGGTGGTGACCCTTCTAGAGCTTCTTGGGGGAAATCTGTGTCCTGGCTTTTTCCTGGGCCGGCCGCTCAACCTCAAAGCTCAGCTCCTCCCACTGCTAGCTCTTTGGTTCTCTCTCCTCTGTTCTCTTCTTCCATGTCCCTGGACTCTTGTGATTGCAGTGGGCTCAGCTGGCCCATCAAGCTAACCCCTATGTTTTAAGGCTATTTGTTCCTATTCTCAGGTGCTTCCACGTCCATCGTGACTCACAGGGATCTCACATGACAGGGCAGACCTGTCCTGTCAGCTCAGCGAGGCTGGACAGGGGCCAGGCCTTCTTCCAAGGCAGCGGGTTGCCACCACCAGCCTTTCACTTGTCAGCTGAAATCTGGACCATTGCCCCACTGGGGCTGATGAGCAGCCTTAATTTCATCTGCAAGGTAACATGTTCACAGATTCCAGAGGCTAGAACATGGACATCCTGGGGCTGGGTGGGGGTGGGGTGGGTCAGGGGAACATTATCCTGCTACAAAAAGTATTATCTCTTTAAAGTATTCTGTACATTGAAATTCTATGTGAATTCTATTTAAAGATTACTTCTTTATGCAACACAAAAAGTGCAGGAAAAGGCAGCAGCCGCTGGAGTCAGACTGCCTGGCTCTCCACTTACCAATTCTGTGATCTTTGGTAGGGCACTTAGCTTTTTTTTTTTCCCTTCCGTTTCCTTATTTGTAAACAGGGATGATTGTAAATAGAGGGTCTAAGAATTAGAATTTAAGTTAATATTTATGACATGCTCAAAATAGTGTGGCAGACGAGTTTTTATGCTTAAAAATATATGCTACAGATTTCATGCGTTTCCTCATTTCTCTGTAGTTACTCGTGAACACTCTTGGGGTTAAAAGACATTTATACCGTCTGGCTTGGATCACACTGGTCATTGATTTTGCCTCAGAGCGCTGAGGTGGCTGATCAGCCAAAGGGCATTCTGACAAGCTGTGCTTTGTGGGAGGCCTCGGAGGTTCTGATACCACGGAGGGACACGGGGATCACTTTTCCATTGTTGTCATGGCAGAGCTCTGAATACACCCCCCCGAGGACATATGTCTCTGAGCAGCCCTGGTATCGCAGGGCTTAAAGTGCTTGGCGAATAATTTAAAGGTTGGCAATTTGAGCCCACCAGCCACTCTACAGGGAGCAAGATGGGTCTTGGAAACTTTTTCGGGCAGTTCTACTCTGTCTTAGACAGCCACTATGAGTCAGAATAGAGTCCACAGCCCTGGTTTTGTCTCTCCGCACTTTAAAGTTACCTAATTCCTCAAAATCTCTGGAGACTAGGCCCCACTATACCAAGAGTGAATAGCTTTTTTTGTGTCCTGGTTGGGTTTGTGGATTTTTGTAGCTATCTAAAGACGACGTGTTAGTGTTCTCTAACTTGCCACACTCAGCAATTTCTTGCATCCTTTTGGTTTCTAGTTTGTAATCTGTTATTTAGATTTGTAGCTATCCCAAATCAAAACCCCTTACTGCTATTGAGTTAGAGAGACCCTATTAACAGAGTAGAAGTGTCCTTAGGGTTTCTCAGGCTATTTTAGGTAAGCAGAGGTCCACAATTTTCTGCTGAGGAATGGCTGATGGGCTGAAAGCATTCACTCTCTGGTTGGCAGCACAGTACTTCAACCATGGTGCCACCAGGGTGTGCAGATTTACTGCCAGCCTTCTTCAACGACTTTCCTGAGTGTCTGCCTAAATTCTGAATTCTTTCACAAGCATCAAATTTCATATTTAAATAACCCAAACCCATGACTCTTGAATCGATTTCTATGCAAAGCAACCATATAGAACAGAGTAAAACTGCCCCACAGGGGTCCTGAGGCTGTAAATATTTTTTAAAATATATAATCATTTTATTGGGGGCTCTTACAGTGCTTATAACATTCCATACATCAATTGTATATTTGTACATATGTACATTTGTAAATATGTTGCCATCATCATTTTCTAAACATTTACTTTCTATTTGAGCCCTCTTTTTGCCCTCCCTCTCCCCTCTCACCCTCGTGACCCTTTGACCCCTTGATAAATGATAAATTATTGTTATTGAGCTTGGTTCCTCCGTCCTCCCCTTCTCTCCCCGATACTCCCATTTCTGTGCCTGACGGGTTTAACTGACTTGGTTTCCGTGTGTCGTGAGCTCTTATCTGTACCAGTGTACATGCTCTAGTCCAGCCAGAACTGAAAGGCAGGGTGAGGAGCCTCAAAGAACCAGAGGAATATTGTGTGTTTCATCAATGCTATACTGCACCCTGCTTGACTCATCCCTTCCTGTGACCCTTCTGTGAGGGGATGTCCCATTGTCTACAAATGGGTTTGGGGTCTCTGCTCTGACCACCCTCATTCTCAACAATATATTGTTTGTTTTGGGTCTTCTGGTGCCTGTTAGCTGATTCTGTCGACACCTCATGATCACACAGGCTGGTGTGCTTCTTCTATGTGGGCTTACCTCTCTGCTAGATGGCCGCTTGTTTAACTTCAAGCCTTTAAGACCCCAGATGCAATAGCTTTGGATAGCACCATCAGCTTTCTTCACCACATTTGCTTATGCACCCATTTTGTCTTCAGGGAGGGTGGGCATCACAGAATTCCAGGTTGTTAGAACAAAGTGTTCTTGCTTTTTGAGGGAGGGCTTGAGCAGAGGCCCAACGTCTGTCCATTTCCTCAATGTATTGCCATATAAATATATGTACTAATATGTTTACATAAGTGTATACCTATGTTTATACCTCTATCCATAGCTTTGCTTCCTAGATCTTTCCTCTGTTTCCTTTTACCTTCCCAAGGCTGTAAATCTTGATGGACTCAGACAGCCACCTCTTTCTCCCATAGAATGGATGGCGGGTTCAGACTGCTTTTCTTTTCTCTTAGCAGAGAGCTCCTTTAATGAAATGACAAGTTGAATTCTGATCCTTTCTGTTTTTGCCACAACACTCAAGCCATGCTGACCACAAGACTCCACGGTTGACTATGTAGCTAAAAAGTACACTGCATCGCCAATAAAAGGGCCTTACCTCCCATGCTCAGGATCATGCCCTGTGGTCCCCGGCTTGTAAATGTCCTGCAGGCTCCGCTGAATGATGAGCTGGGTATCCAAGTCAGTGTCTGTGTCTTCATCACTGAGGTCACTGTCCATGTGGAATGAGCACAGCTTCTCTTCAAAGTCAGAACAATTTGAAAAAATCTCAGCGTGAAAACGTTATCGACTGCTTAAAATTATAAATGAAATTCAGAAAACTACAACATCAGTAGAATCAGTATGTCAAGGAAATCCGAAGTGTAAACAAAATATTCCTTTAAATAATTTCCCAGACGTTTAAAATGTTTCCTGAACTGCCGTGGGCTCAGTATCCATTAGAAAGACCCATGAGTAATCATGTAATTTAAATTTATTCAGAAAAAAACCCCAACTTTCCATATGAGACTTAGTTTAATACCTTTATAACATCGACAATGCTCAGACTGAGTCTAGAGTTTGCTTACAAGTTCTTCCTGGTGATTATCATACTCAGCCCAAAAGAACCTACACATAGTGAGTGTTATGCTGAAAATAACGTTTCATTTAGTAAATCCTCAAAATGAACATCTTACAGAAACACATGATTCTCACAAGACAACATGTAATAGGAACCATGGTACTAAAGACCTCTATTTTAGGCAGTATCGAAATGGTTTTCAAGAACATTTCCGTTTTAGCACAGAATAGGCTTGATTACAGAATCAAAATCTTTTTTTTTTTTTTTACCTTTTGTTAGATCCTTTAGAACAGCTTCGGTGTTTTCAATGTTAAGGGTTAGAACATGTAAGCCTCAGAATATTAATTTATATTTAGGAAATCCACTCCCCTGTAGTGACTGTTCCATTAATAGCTTTTCTATAAATACTTGATCACAAGACAGTTTGGCACATACTCCTTGTTTTTTTTACATGTGGTTAGCTCTGTTTGGAAAGATGATCTTTTCTTCACTGCCGTACCCACCAAATTCAGAGAAGTCAGACATTTCATTCCTGGGATAAAATGCTTCCACAGAGGGTGGGCCACGAGAAGTGAATTCCTAGCGTTGACTCAAGCACAGGGCCTGTGCCACCAGAATCAGTTTTATTTCAGAGAAGCCACGCCGTTTGCTCGGCTTGAATCATTAACGATGACTGTCCCAGTGTCACTGCTACACCACTAGCTGTGCCTGTCTTAGGGTTTGAGGCTGTGGTGGCTGCTGTCCCAGAATGCTGAGGGTAGCTGAGTAACATTTTGTTTTGCAGAAAGATTTAAAATAGTTAATGTACAATAATGTTATGAGTGCCTATGCAGTAATGAGACGATTAGTTACTCACAATGAGCGATGGATCCAGGGTTGCCACTTCAGGAGCAGCAGGTTGGGCTGCCCTCTAGCCAGCTATTGCCTTTGCTGGTCGACTTCACTGCTTGGAGGTTACCTAGTCACAGGGGGACTGTGGGAAATGAAGCTAACGTTTTAAAAAGTATCAAGAAAGAGATTTAGTTTTGTGATTGTTTTTAACATTTTCCTATTTACATTTTACATATTTGAAATGTTCACAGTCACTTCAGATGGGTGAGTGGAACGTAAACTATGACTGGCAGAAGAAAGACACAGCAGAGAGACAGAGATCCCAATCATAACATGGAGAGGAGATTTGGATAGTCATGAAGATGACATCCAAATGCCACCAAGCACATGGGAAGATGCCCAATGCCATTAGCCACCAGTGAGGTGCAAACCAAGACGACAGTAGAAGACACTTCAGTCTCCCCAGGACGGCTGAGGTTAAGACAAACCAAAAAGCCAGAAAACAACAAATGTTGGTGGAGGATGTGGGGAAATTGGAAGCCTGGACTTTGGCAGATGCAGTCGAAGTTGTATGAGAGATACATGAATGATAATTGAGTTGGCGGGGATAGTCTCTGCTGAGGCTGCTTACGCATACCAAACACCTCACGGGGTTTAGGTCTTGGTGTGGAGCTTCCAAGTCATGGTTTCACAGGTCATCTCAGCTAACTGGACTAATAATGTGTCCAGTGCTTCTGTTCTGTCTTCATTAATTGCATAGTGCCTGGGGTCTTACAAGCTTGCAAGTAAGTTTCCATCCAAGGCACAATAATTGGTATTCATTCACCTGGAGTAACAAGTAATTGAGGAAGGGGGAGAGTGGAGCACAGGAGGAGGAAATGGGATTTGTCGTTAGATGCCTCCATGAACAACCGTCACTTCCATAAGGAACTGTTGTCTCTACCAGGAGACCAGACAAACTGGTTGGCTAGCGGGCTACCATTATTCAGCATTCTGATCAAAGACTCCATAGAAGAGCTTGGATCAAAAGGGTGGGGCAGGGGGTGATATGTAGAACAGGGTTTCAAATGTTTATTGAATCCAGATATTCTAGAGCCATGGCGGCTCCTTAAACCACCGAAACTACTGCTCTGAGATAATCTTTACACCTTAAACAAAATATCCCCTGAAACCTCCTAAAACTGAACAGTAGTTTAGCTGAACTAGCAAAGGAGCGCTGTGCTCTTTGTGTGAACCATGCATATGGGATCCAACTGTCCAGAGCAACGTGCGAGATCAGATAGGGACTTTAGCGGGCACTGAAGGTGACCGTGGTTGCACAGCTCAGAGCATGCGGTCAACGTCCCTAAACTGTACACGGAGACACTGCCGAATATCAATGTGCCTTCTGCCCTGTGTGGTGTCAACCGGAAAAGCACAACGACCCCATTGTGACAAGGGATCGTTTCTGGTCATGAAAACTTGCTTCTCATTGATTCCCCCAGACCTACACACATGTCCAACTAGAAAAAGGACACAGGGAGAACTTCAAAGATTTCCCATACCCTTCAGAGAAAATGAAAAAACAAAATTTTAAAACACATTTCCTCCCCTTTCCCAACTAGAGTCTTGCTGTGTGATCTTCCAAAAGAACCCAGCTAGAAGGGGGAGCACAACGCATGCGCCGCTGACAAAGACCATTCCAAAGAACGACGCAGATGCTCACTCGGCTTTATAACTGATATCAGTATACTTAAGTTAGTGAGGACACTTGGCTTTCTTCTTTGAATGTTTTCTGAACTGGTCCAGTTTAATCATCCAGCTGACAAAGCAGAGCAACCCCACGCTTGATCCAGTGCTGAATGGGTAGCTCTGTTTTTAAGAGCATTGCGATGACAAAGTTCGTAGAGTGTCCTGTAGTTGAGAGCGTTCCTTTGCGCTCGCTTGTCTTGTACAAGGGGCAGACGTAGGCATTTGACTTGTCAATCTCCGACTTCATAGCTTGGAAAAAGAAAAAATAGACCCATTTCATAAAAGGGGTTCAGCTATTGATCTGATAATAAAATGGTCAGTACTCGGTGTAGGATTTTGATAATGATTTTGAAAAGGAACTTAGCATTTTTGTTTTTGTTTACTTGTAAATGAGGCAAAATGATTTCATAGGGTGTGTGTTTCTAAGCCTAGAAGACATGGAGTTTGTTAAAATCTGGTCACTTGGTAGGTGTGACAATGTTTAAGAAAGACTAGGGAGAGGGAGAGGAAGAGCAGGAGGAGGCTGGGGAGAAGAGAGGTAACTCGGGAGGAAACACTGCTTCTTAGGGCTTCAGCACAAGTGACCCCATCACTACCACACGCTGGCCTTCCCACTTGCTTTCAGCAGCCTACTAATACAAAAAGCAGACCACCTCTTACCTCCTCAGAGAAAGAATCTATATTCAGTCCCTGAAAAGCCAGACAGGGGAAAAGCTTTTAAAAACCAACGCCACTTTTCAAGAGATGAAAAGGAGCCACTTTAATAACGAAAAAGAAATACCGAGTGGGGACTCTGGGTGATTGTAAAGATTTTCACTTACATTTTTAAAAGCTGGAGAAGAAAGAAGAGAAGGAGTCCGCCTTCTTTTCAAGTGGGTAGGGGAAAGGGGGTGGCAGAGGTGGGAAGGGACCCTTCCAGGAGCCGAGTTGGCCTCTACCCTATGGGGCTTGAAATGTCTCAGCCTTGGGCCCCCTGGCCGGCTGTGAGGCCTAGGAGTCTCTTCCAGCCAGGGATGCTCACCCTTGGTGCTGGAGACTGTGCCAAGCCTGTCTGTGCTTTTGGGAAGGTGTAAAGCGAGTTCAGGCCCAGCACCTGACTGTGGACTCAGACTGTGGACCTCTCGTGCAAGTCTAAGAAAATGATGCAATCCCGTCAGATAATAGCATAAAGAGGCAGGAGGATTTCCCCAAATCAACAAATGCTACACTAGAAGGGGCAGGGTGTGGGGGAATGTAGGGAGCATCAATATATTTCCAACTAAAACAGTAAGTCAGTACTTATTAATAACTAAACTAAACCTCAGTGTGGGAGAGCAGAGGAGAGTCTCTATCGTGACCCTCCCTAAAACGTGAAGACATTGTATTGGACGCATATTTACTTGGTTTTATCCATATGATGGGCATCAGGTCAAACAGAAGCTTAGGATATTGTTCACTGAGAAATCCACTGTGAAAAGAAATCAATGGAATAATTAGAAACCATTTATGAAATTTAACTCACCAAAGCAAGATGCTATTTAGATAGTCACTTTTAATACTAGAGGGGACTCGAGCAAAAGATGAAAGTAAATGTTAAAAACAAAAAACATTAAAAAGTGAGTGCAAGGAGATGACAATCTGAGGGGAACGAAAGAGAATTAAGGAAGCACGGGAGACACACGCAGCAGGCAGCAGCGACCCTGCCTGGGCGCCGGTCAGCAGCACACCAAACGGCGGGATTGGCGTCTACCCACAGGCACCTCGGAGGAAGGCCTGGGGGTCCACATCGGAGAAGCCGGTTGGGGCAACCCTATGGGGCACGGCTCTAACACAGACAGGTCGTCACGGTTTCAGTTCATTTAGTGTAAGCCGTTTACTCGGCCACTGTTAACGTACTGTCACGAGACAGACACACGCTACCACATTTGACCCTCACAATGAGCCTCTCCTCACTGCTGTGCATACATCATAGATGAAAACTGGCAGCTCATAGAGGTCAAGTACTTTCCTCATTATTACACAGCAATTAAGTGCCTAGGAGCCCTGGTGGCACAGTGGCAAGGTCAACTGTTTGAACCCACCAGCCACCCTATGGGAGAAAGATGAGGCTGTCTGCCCTCACGGAGGGTTGCCGACTCAGACACCCACAGGGCCAGTTCTGCCCTTGTCCCAGAGGGTCCCTGTGAGTTGGAATAGACTTGACAGCTGTGGGGTTTTGTTTGTTTCTTTTTAAATTTAAGTGCCAGAGTCAGGATTCCATCACAAATTGGCCTGTCGCAAAAATGGTTTCTTTTGACAAGGTGTTTGTTTGCTGAGAGAGAGGGAGAGAGGGAGGGGACAAAGAAAGAGGACATAGTCAAGGGAAAGCAGATTACCAGCGACGCCGGAGATTGATGACAAACGAGAGAGAAATGGCAAAATGAGTTCTATGCAGTTGGGTCGCCCGCATCACTGTCTCGGAGTTCTGTCTGGACGACTCTTGTATTGCTCCCTCTTACGTAGCCCCCTCGCCCGCTGCCCCCCACCCCCTTTCCCTGGCATGAGCCTCCCTTGAGAACAAAGCCTAACCCTGACTCTGGGAGGAGAGGAGCGAGCAGGACTCCAAAGGAAATGCCTCTCTCCTTCTCTCCTCCCAGCCCCAGAGGTATGTATTTCAAAACAGGATTCGTTGTTTCTTAGTTTCCTCCAGTGAAGCTGAATATTCAATGTTGTGTTTGTTGTTGTTTTTTAATTCTCAATATGTAAGATCTCATCAAGGCACAAGAAAAGTTATCCATTCACTAACCGACATCTGAAAGGCCCTTTCCTTTGGCTGCAAACTGTTCAAAAGCCAGGAAGCCCTAACATGGTACGAGCCGAGGTGGCTGCTATAAAATGGAAGGAACGGGACACAAACACTCACTAACGTATCTATTAGTGAACACCGTGACACTGTCCTGGATCTGAAAATAGTCTTGCATCAAGTCCACTGCCCTGAAGAATGATTTATGAGAAAGAATTCTGCCACTATTTATTACTTGTATTATTCCCCACAGCCCTCTTGTTTGCGGGGGGGAGGGGAGGTTGCAGACATTGTATTTTATCTACGACTCGGCTACAACTGAAGAAGTATCTGCAGATGAGACTACTGACCTAGCTCTGTCCCAGCGAGCTCCATCGAGGTACAAGCCGTGGATGTAAACACCGTCGTCTGGTGCGGTGTCAGATGTGTCCAAAGGAATGACCTGGAGGCAGAGGCGCACACTAGACAGGGTTCCCGTTTCTCTCCTGCCCGGCCCGCCCTCGCCAGCATGCTCTCTGGTGTTCCCTGCCCCCAAATCTCTACTACTTTAAATGTAATGCAAAATCAACGAGTCTCTCCATGGCACACAGTATGGAAAGGAGTCACACTGTGTATAACAGGCAAGTTCTGGGTATCCTTATTGCTTAAGTATCACGACTTTGATGTGAGGGTGTGCCACGGAGCTAAAAGTTACTGTACCTCAAATTCGTATCCTAGTAAATCAATAGGCGTGGTATATTTTCTGGCAAAATTCTGCATAGCTCCAGTTAAAAAGGCTTGGGTGAAAAAGAAACCCGAGAGCCAGAATACATTTGGTTTCCCTGAATCATACCATTCCTGAAAAGGAAAAACAAAACAAACAGAAACACACATTTATTTTTCAGCTTATGCAAGTGTCAGTAGTGTTGGCTCAGGGTTCAGGCAGTTGTGTCCCCAATCAACATACAGACTGTCACCTTTCCCCTCACCAGACCCTCTTCCCTTAACCAAACATGCAGACAACCTTCCTCCTACTGCTACTCCCTCGTTATTCTTCGCAAACTCAAACTAACGAGAACAAGAGCCTGAACGAAACGTAACTGGGAAAGACCCCGTCTTCTGCCAAAAGCAGATGTAAAATTATTTGGACACCGAGAGACGAAGAAAGAACGACGGACGATGACAGAATCTACAGTCAGGGTGCAGTATAGCACCAACGAAGCATTTTTCCTCTAGTTCTTTAATGCTTCCTCCCCACAACTATCATGACCCCAGTTCTACCTTACAAATCCGACTAGACCAGAGCATGTACACTGGTACAGAGAAGAGCTGAAAACACAGGGAATCCAGGACAGATAAACCCCTCAGGGCCAATAATGAGAGTAGTGATGCCAGGAGGGGAAGGGGAAGGTGGGGTGGGGGGAGGGGGTGGGGAGAAAACGGGAACTGATCATAATGATTGGCATATGATCCCCTCCCAGGGAGACAGACAACAGAAAAGTGGGTGAATGGACACAGCAGTTGGTGTGAGACATGAAAAAAAAATTATCAAGGGTTCATGGGGGGGTGGGGGGTGGGAGGGTGGAAATGAGCTGATACCAAGGGCTCAAGTAGAAAGAACATGTTTTGAAAATGATGTACTACATGTACAAAGGCTGGATGGATGGAGAGATGGATTGTGATAAGAGCAGTAAGAGCCCCCAGTGATTTTTTTTTTTAATCGATAAAACTTCTTGCAGAGTAAGTGGGGAGACCCATTCAGGGGAATATTTGGGCTGAAGGGATGAGAGAGGCTGCCCTGATAATGAGTGAGATCTTCCTTATTAATTCCAAGGGGCAATTCAAATTTCAGGTAGAAATTTGTGCAACAATGTTACTTTGAGGATGAAGGTGTACCTGTGCCAAGTTATGGCATTTTCAATCACCTCACGGGCATGTGAAAGTTGGAAGACAGGAAGACGAATCAAAGCATTTGAGCTATAGTGCTGGCAAAGAAACAAATCTGTCTTGGAAGAAGTGCAGCCACAATGCTCCTTAGAAGCAAGGATGGTGAGACTTCATCTTCTGTACTTCGGACATGTGACCAGGAGAGACCCGTCCTTGGACAAGGACATCATGCTTGGTAAAGTAGAGGGGCGACGAGGAAGAGGAAGACCCTGGACAAGATAGACTGGCATTTACTCTCTTAGGGTTAGAGCTGGGAGCTGGCAACAATGAGTACCAGAATGAAGGAGAGGATTTAATATTGATTGTGGTGATGACCGCACAACTCCTGCTCATATATTTATATCGCAGGATTGTATGCCACACAAATTATATGTCAATAAGGCTGCTTAAGAAAACAACAGCAAAAGAAGCACGGCCTCACTACTAGTTAAGGGGAGTCAGACGGACAGAAGATAAGTGCTGGACCTGTCAGACTGTCTCCACACCCTCACAGGCATTGACTATTTTATGATTAGCTTTTACAGTGAAACAAATAAATCTCTTGTATAAGAAAAATGCATAAACCTATTCCTGAAGCTTGTGCATTACTATTTAGGGGTGTCTGCCCCAAACCTAGACATTATCATGTATAGATTACAACAGTCACATGCCGTGTAGCTCACTGACATTCAAGTGACCGTAACCAAAGCATAACATCAACCACAGAATGGGGGCTCTGCCGTCAATGTCTGCCATGGGATAGAGGGTTGGGGATTGCAACACCCATCTTTTCTTCGGTTGTATGAGATAAGAGAACACTGTGAG